GCTTGAGTAGCAGTAGCAGCAGCAATAACCGTGTAAACAAAACCGACTCAAAAAACTAACACCAACACTTAAAATATAACATTAACTGCAGAGTTTTGGCATACTAAGACATTAAATTATGCAGCCACATAAAAACACACAGAACGAGATAAACCGACCGTCACTGATAATTCCCACTGCATTCTCCTTGGTCGCTAAAAAATGCGAAACGGAGTTGAGTCTAGCCGCAGCCTGTTTAACTGGCTCTCCAGTCTTGTTGTTACCTGTTCCAGAGGCTAGTATAACGTGTAACAAAGAATGACGAGTTTTATCAATTTAATGCTTTCTAAACTACTATTGTAAACTCTTGGTTTTGGAAAATCTTATTACATAACAATTCATAATGGTCTCATTACGCAAAATTTTGCATAGAAAAGTAGAACTAGGTTTAGCCTATCTACGCCACGAGAGATAATATTTCCACATTTATGATTTACATTTGTAACGTCGATCTGCATTAAAGAGTCTCACAGATTATCACTTCTATCGATCTCCAGTAGGCCTGGCGCACATATGAATCTAGTCATGACAAGCCACTATTGTTTCAGCAGTTAATTGCAGATATTGTTAACCTTGGCGCTATACGTATTATACCGTCTTTTGTTAGCATTGTTGTTTTAATGCGTTTGTACCATAAGCATTCTTTCCGGTTTACTTCAATCCTCGCGCTGATCTTGAGCTCTGTTTGCTTTAATTTGACACTTTTTCTGAAATGTTCGTCAACAGTATAATTCTGATTGGCTCACTCATGTCTGTCAAATTTTTGTCACTCTTCTCAGAAGATTCGCTTTGTTACAGGTACATCCTCACAACGGATTTGTTGGTCATTATGCATTATAGCGAGGAAACTTATTTTCAAGGAGTTGTGAATGAACTCTAGCAATTAAACCTCTCTGAATCGTTTGAATCTCGAAATACAATGTTGCTTTGTATGTCTTACAATAGTTATCCGCTTACGGTGCGGAGTGCCTGAACACTCGCAGCTCGAGTTCTACTATTCCAGAGATGTCTCTTACTTTTTAAAAGAATTTATTTAACTTCTGTGCTACCAGAAATTTTCACACACTGGAATCCAAGAAAATGTAGTGCCAAGTGTGTCAAGTGACGGTGGTGCTTGCGATGCATTCCAGTTAGTTTCAGTTTTTCAAATGACCTGAGACGTCACCTTGGTTATCTGTCTTCATTGAGTTCCTGCAGTCAACCAAGCATATATTTTCACTGAGGTTTTCCTCTTTCCTGACATCATAATTACTGGAAACTGTTCTAAGTACCTATTAAAAACGTTATTTCCAATGATTTTCTATGTGAAATTCTCTTGAAGAAAGTTATAGTTTAGCTATGACGACTCCGTAGGAGAATGACTAAAAATAAGTCAGTTAAGCAATTAATAATATACGGATTATCGCTACCATTTAAATATTAGATCGTAAGGTATGGAATGTTAAAGAAATATGTGATCACGATATTCCTCGCAAACATCTTCATAGACTTCCGATGGAATTAACGTTATTGACCGCCAACTTAGGGGATTTTCGACAGTGCTCGGATTCTTCTAATTTGGACATGAATAATGTAACCTCCTAGCTTCCCATAAAGTCATACCACACGGTTAATATCTAACATGAGTTACCCCTTCGTCTTATCCAGGTACAGTAGCTATTCTAATTGCTGCATGTGGCAAAAATGATGTCATTGCATGGATGTGATAGTAACCACAGGTTGAAGTATAGAATATACACTACCGCATAGGCAACTCCATGGTGTACAGTCGATGAATGCGCACTGTTTATCCTTCATCTTGACGAGACTTGAGGGCTTGTTTTACATTTTACAAACTGCTTGCTGGGCAGTTTGGCTATAACTCTGTGATATTTTAGTGTTCCCACGACAATTAACTACAACTAATAAGACATCTTTTTAGTGTACAGTACGAATGAATACAGTAAAAAATACGCTATATCTCTTATATGCTTAGAAACTGCGACGTTCCAGAAAGCGAGTGATAGCGGCTGCACATTGTTTTGAGTCTTTATTCTGTCCGACTGACTTTTAACTACAAGTGTGGTGCAACAAAAATAACTTCTAAGATCATTCCTTTTCTCACAGTTCATTAACAGCATACCTCTAGAATATCAAACCTTCCTCTACGTAAAAGTTAAAGAAAAATAATATGTTGTACTCACTTCTCAGACATCAGACATAACTAATAATTACTTCTCTTATTGTGCTCAGCAAATTCCAGTTTGAATGCTTTGAAAGCCTTCCTTTTGAAGTAAAGGTTACTATAACAAGAATTTGTTATTGATGTGCCAAGGATTAATTTTTGATAATCATGATGTTGATTTCGACGTAAAAACAATTTTCCAACGCTTATGAACTTTGTTGAAATTCATTGATTACTTCACAACAGTCTAAAACACAAGGGCACACCAAAAGGCATCATCAAAAAGCAAAGTATATGATAAATGTTTTTAGGAAGTGCTTTTCGAATAGTCAGGTCTTGGAAGCAAACGCCACCAAGGCCTGTTTGGATAGGCCGTTCTCCCTATAAGTTTTATATGCCAATGCTCGTGGTCTAAGAAATAAATTCCATGAACCAGAAGCATTAGTGGACAAGCCAAAGCCACTCATTGTAGCTACGACGGAAACTTGGTCAGTCCATGACCTCGACAATACTCTAAAATTATCCGGATATCACTATCTAAGAAGCAGTAGACACAGATAAAGGGAAATAGGTGGCGTTCTTTAATACATAGCCAATTATAAACATATCCGCTCTTTTGCTTGCGAATCCCATGATAGTGAAGCTTGTGAAGTCATTAGCTACGAGCTGGCTATTGGATGTTGTACATTTATACTCGGTGTCATCTATCTCAGCCCAATCTGCTTAGCTGGTGACTTTATTTTAGAGCACATTCAGCTATGGAGTGTAACCAGCAAATGCTTTATATTAGGAGGCTTTAATGCACTTGATATTAGTTGGACTAAGATGGCCGTGGTAGGTTCTACAAAAGTCTTTGATAACAGGTTCCCGATAATGGTAATGATGTATGCATTAGTGCAGCATGTATCCAAACCCACAAGTTTTAGTGCAAGCCAAGGTTCTTCCTTGTAAGACTTGGTAACCACTCATGTGACTGAGGACATTGTCAAACTAAATATTCTTTCACCGTTAGTGAATAGCGACCACGCTGTTTTTTCTTTCACGTTTAGAGTCAGTGACATGATATACGATCACCTTATGCCTCGCCCAAATTTATGGCGAGTTAACATATCAGCCATTCAGGAGTGCGCTGCTAAGGCAGATTGGTTGGTAGATAATAGTTCATTAGTTGAAGAAGCATGGTCAATTTTTAAAGACAAAGTTAGTTCAAGTAAGTCATCGTTTATACCATGCCTGGTACCACATAGACCGAATAACTGGCTGCGGCAAAAGATCGAAATATTACTTTAGATGTAGTTTTTATATATCTAAGTAAAGCCCTCGATAAGGTCTTCCATTCGGGTCTTGAATTAAAACTGGAAAATTTTGGAATCCATTATAAGGTCATAGACTCGATAAGCGTCTTTCTCCATGATAGGAGACGGATGGTAAGTGTAAATGAAGCTCTCTCATCATGGGAATCTGTATAAAGTGTAGTTCCTCAAGGTAAAATCCCCGGTCCTCTTCTCTTTTTACTTAATGTAAATGAATCATCAACTGTAGCAAAGTCATCCGTTCTACTCATCGTCAATGGCAGAGATTTGGAGACCCATACACAGTAAGTCATATAGGATAGTATTACAGGAAGATCTCAACTCACTGGCGGTATGAATGGACAGATGGTCACTAAAAGTGAATTCTAACAAGAATATGGTGATGCAATTAGATAAATATGACGATTCATATCACCACACAATGCACGGATTCAGGTTACCCAAAGAAATGTAACACAAAGATTTAAGAGTCATAATAAACAAAGATCTCAAAAAACGATTAACTGTAAGGCTGCTGCCACAAAAGACTATAGGGCTATTCGTAGGTATTTTCAGTATTTGGATGAATAAATTTTTAGATTATTGTACCCGACGTTCGTGAGACCTCATTTAGAATATGAAACTCAAGCAGCAAGTGCTTGTTTCACCTATGACGTGAATACGTTGGAATGAGTCCAATGACGGTGGACTAAATTGGTGAAAGGCTTCTCTTGCCTATCTTAGAAAACAGACGAAGACATCAACTTATCTTACCGTAGAATACAGGGTGATCTAATATTGGCTTGAAGGTGATACAGGTATTCGGAGATTGACAAGGATATAACCAGCAACACCTTTTAATATGAAGCGTACACAACAAGTGAAACCAAAAGACAGAAGCGAGGAGGTTCGAAGATATTTTTGATGGGCTATCAATATATCGAGGATCGTCTGATCTAATCTGGCTAGCGACTGCAGGGGTTGTTGAGCACAGCTTTCCCACTCGTGATTTGGTGCGGATGCATGACCGAGCACCTTCAGTTAGGTGTGTCCATTAAAACTGATGTGGTCAGCATCCAATGTCAAAAGCCTACAGAGCTATTTATTTTGGGGATTTATATACCGCTACAGGCTTATCGTATACTGGATGATGACCTTTGAGTTAATACCTTATCTTTCCCTTCCGCTTAGGTTTGATCAATTGCGAGGACATTCAAAGAAAGTTCAGAAACTGAGATCAAATTGTCTGCGTCTGAAGTTTCCTCTTCGTACCGAGTACTGAATTACTGGAATTCTCTACCAGAAAACGCATTATCAGCACCTTCTGTTGATATATTCTAAACGAGATTGAAATTTCGCAGCAATAAAAACCACAAGGGTGGATATAGGTCGATATACCTATCCTTATTGCTGAAAATTGAGGACTGCCCGCCTTGAACAAAGACTCAAGGTTGGGGAGGCAGATTTGACCTGTGCACACATCCAATTCCTTGATTTCCACAATAATGTCATTAGTCCGTCTTACCTCCTGTCCAGCTGCCACTTTTAACCGGTTTTTTTCGCTCATATATCGAAGTCCCAAAAACTATACTTTGTGTTCTCACAGGGTTTTGTATGACAGAGTTTTGGTTTCCAGAAAACTTTCTCAGAAAGCCGAGGTTATTGGTCCTGAAGTCACAATAAAAACCCATATAGATGGGTCTCGTCCAAAATTTATAGTCACGTATGACGAGTTAAGCTCGCAGCTTTCGAAAGGAACTGTCCAGCTGTTTGATGTAAGAAGTGGAGATGATGTGGAGTCCACTGGCAGGATCCCGGGTTCCGTTAATATACCCCGTAAGTATTTTGGTTACATTTTAACTTGTCAGTCACCGATTTAAAGAAAGCTCTTATTCTCAGTGACAGTGAGTTTCTTCAGAAATATGGCGTATCAAAGCCGAAGACGAGCGACAATAACATAATATTTTATGGATTGTCGGATGTGTCATCAGCAAGTGCCTGTGAAATAGCCCACAGTATGGGCTATAAAAGGTTTGCTTTGTATATAGTTTTGTAACTTGTATAGGGCGAAGTATTATTTGAATGGATGGACGGAGTGGTCTGCGATGCATAAAAAGTAAACAGTAACAAATTCGGTGCTTCTATATACGATGGTGTAAATAATCCACAATAAACTTAAAAACAGTTCGAGCCATAGACTGATTTTGCAAAATGGTTCTCATTCGCTGAGTTTATTGAAACTCACTTATTTCACTTTGCATTTTCACATTGTACTTAGTTTTGCTGTAAAACGCATACATTTATGTTGTGTAACGTCAATCTCATCCTTATTACAAATAGTTTGTCCACGGCGGGTGGTGTTTTTTAGTTGGCCTGAAATAAATGTTGGTGTGTTTATATAAATTAGTTCCATTATAACAACAGTGCCGTTTTTCTTGTGAATGTACTGTTGTCTGGTGCTATTCCTAATTAGAAGAGCAGAAGATTAGAAATAGCTAGGTAAGTGATGTTCATTTTCTGACTTTTGAACGTGTAGATATCGCGCTTCATCATATGCGAAACATCACATCCGTTGTATTATTTTGTCACCAGAATTTCTCAACTAGCCAACCACATCTCTTAGGTTCGAAAGCGGGATACATAGGCTAATTAACCGTTGTGTTGTATAGGAACACCACCAACATGTGCTTTTGTATATCCTACCAAAAATGTCGAATAATTACCGTCCAGTAAGCTTGTTCCCAATGTGAGAATTAAGTATTAGTCCCATCTGAAATATCAACAGCATATCGGTATAGCAACATCTGCTAATTGAGTGTTTCAACTTATGTTCTTAGGTAAGCCTCAGGTCATTGGTTTTTACTTTTTCTGATAACAGCAGTTCATACTCTTCCGCACTGTAACAATGCACTTGTTTTCAATTAGATCGATTAGTTTCATTAGTGATAGTATTTTATTAAAACGTAAGTTTCTGCTATTGGTTAATAAGTAGACCACCTAGTACATTCGTAGGTACTGATAAATATGTATTTTATTTATATATTTGAACACATAAATATTGGTACAAGGGGGCACCAAATATATATGCGCCACACAAAACAATCAGAATGAGAAGAGAAAAAAAGGAAGGTAAGGAGCGTAAAATAAAAAAAAACAAGAGAACAATAACGACCACACAGTGCACGGAAGTGAAACAACAATAGTAATAATAATAATCGGGGGACCGGAAAGGTACAACCAGAAGAATTCTTTCAGTTAAGGAAGATACAACCACTTTTTATGAAGAAAATAAAGGAAGGTTACATCAGGATCGCCACTGGCTTCTATTCTGAGCCATATCTGATAACGTCTCCAGCCACTGTGTTGCACCATCGCTCAGACCCCAATCAGGGAGTCGTGAAGGACCAACAGAAGCCAGCCCTTCGCAGCTTTCTTTTATACCCCGACACCATGTCATACACTGACCACCTCTACGCTTTTTCCAACCAGTCCCAGCGTCTGCAAATAATGCACGACATTCGTAGAACATGTCCAAGCCACCGAAGTCGATGTTTCGAGATGGTGACACCAGTTGTATTATCGTCTCTGCGCGCGAACACACGATGCCGAACCTGTACATTACTAACACAAACAGAATGAACAAAATATGTATTATTGCGAAATCTATATGCGTAGGAACTTGGGTAGAAGTATAATATGCTGTCGGACTCGTATTAAACAATCAAAATTAAAATGAAACCTCGTGTATTTTAAGCGAATTTAAAGTGCAGTGGTAGCTAACGTGTATTTCATCAGTAACTAGATGAAAGTTGTCAATATTCGGCCTTTACAATGTTTGAAACCAATAAGACATCTATTATGAGATCAAAAAGGGAATTTTAGATGGTGCTTAAGCTTTATTTATTTAAAAATAAATATTGGTACAAGGAGGCACCGAATATATATGCACTACACTTCATCATTCGATTTGTGTCAAGGCTGGAATACTTCTTGGTGGCGCAAACGGAAGCACGTGGTTTTCTTGAGAAGCCACTTCTTGAACTTTTGACCTAGAAGCCTAATTCACAAGGCAGTGGAGCAACGTGCAGTCCCATGGCAGCTGGTGACCAACAATAGGCTCATAGTCCATTTGTTACCTCGGGACCCTGAAGTCCATGTGCACTTTTGGTTTGGAATCAGGGTTTTCCAATCTCCACAGGTGGGTCGTCCATATCCATACATAACATTACCAGGTCCTAGGGTAAATTGTATGTTATGGTACATGCTGTTGTCCAGTGCGTAATCAAGATTGTTTGGTGGAACTGCGTGGTGTTCTTTCCTTATTCACTCTAAATCTCAACCCTAAGTTCCTCAAGTTTGTAAACAGGAAAGTTCCAAGACATTGCATTTTATCTTATGTCAGTTTATAATGAAAACCCTGACTCAAGTTTTTAAACCTAACTCAAAAGTACAGTTTAATCCTTAACACCTAACCCTTTCACATTGTAATTGATGTCAGTTGGCGTCAAAAACTCTGTGGTGATAGCCTCAACTCGCAACACTAGTCTGACTCTTAATCTGTGTACACATTTGTAAGTTTGGCATTTTCTTCTTCACTACTAGTGTTAGTTTGACTTGTGAGGGTTAATCTATACGACCAAAGCTATTATCCCATTGTTGTCTCATTACTTTGTATTGTTAGTTGTTTTATAACTAGGCATTGTTTCCCGTTTGGTTGCCAAGAACGTAATTATATTTTACTTTTACCGGAATTTGTATTCCTGACATTTCGTGACTTGATGTAAGTCACTTCAGAGTAGATAAATACATAGCTTCCTACGTAATCCTCAATCTTTTCGCAGGTAAGTTATGACTTATGGATATTTCAAACTAGTATGAAGAAATGGTCAATAGGTTATCATCCACTGAGTACCTATTGTCCGAGCTACATTGAGTGTCTCGCTTGACAAATTACTTGTTAGGCATTTTCACAAAAACCTTTTAAACTTGTTGAGTGACAATAATTTTTCATCTTTGCTGTATTTGATTTTAATCAGCGTTGGGTTTCGTGACTTCTTATCCTGCCAAAATCCCTTTCTCGTAAGTTGTTGAAGTTTGAACTAATACACAATAATGGCTATGGTTAACTGACAGCTGAAGACAGGTTTCCTGAAGAGTCTAAAAGTTGGACTGCATTTTGTTTATAATCATAAGATCCAGAAGGATGACTGTTTAGCACTATTATCTAATCCTGTCGTTTTAACTAATACACCACTCATTAAAGCTGTAACCTCACAAACTGACACAAATCTTCAATGACAGTAATGTCTGGTGTTGAACTGTTGTATTATGTATTATTTTGGTGTGTGATCTAGATTAAGTTAGAAAGCTTTACTATCTACTAAACAGTTTGCCAAGAGCGTTTATTAAATCATATACGAGAAATGTTAGGATGAGAATTCAAAGAGCTGTTGGTGGGATGTTGGAAATATGAAGCATTGAAGGGACATCTAGGTTAGAATTTTGACAGATCTATCATTACTATTTTATGCGTCATCAGGCTTGATGCAGAAGTAAGGTTATTTAGCAGTCATTTTCTCATGTTTGAGTTGTAATCATAGCAACAGTGTGATCTATTGTTAAGATGTCACTTAGATTAGTAATGTCATTATGAGTATGTAAACGGACCAGAAACGAAGAGGCAATTAGGATCGATAAAATAAAGCACAACCTTACATACTTACGCCTGTTACCACCAATTGAGCATAAGCCGCCGGTCAGTATTCTTCAACCTCCTATGTCCTGGGCTTTCTTTTCTAGTTCTATCCAACTGTTGTTCGTCCTTCTCATGTCCGTCTCCATTTCACGGCGTATGTTTTCATCTTCTCATTTAGCCTTGTGGTCCCAAGCGAGGACTCTCCTTGTGACATAGGAGGGTACTTTCGCCAATGTATGTCCTATACACTTCCCGATTTCTTCCGCACTGGAGTCTGGTTTGTTCCCTCCCTCCACAGTAAGTTGTTGCTGATAGTGTCTAGCCAACAGATCTGAAGTATTTTGCGTAGACAACTGTTAAGGAACCTTGCTTGACACCGGTCTTTACGTCGAACGAATCTGCGAGCTGCCCTTCATGCACGATTTTGCAGTTTAATCCATCATAATAATTCCGTATAATGTTGACTATCTTCTTAGGCACGCTGTAGTGTCAAAGAAGTTTCCATAGTGTTGCCCTGTCAACTCTATCAAATGCTTTCTCGTAGTCAATGAAGTTGATACAAAAACGTGAATCCCATTCAATCGATTTTTCCAAAACGATCCGTAGTGTTGCGATTGGGTCGGTACATGATCTATCCTTATGAAATTAAACCTGTCAATCTAGAAATTGGGCGTCTACGGAGTCCTTCATTCTGTTTAGCAACACCTTGTTGAAGACTTCCTGGTATTGAGCGAGTGATGCTTCTGTAATTCTCACACTTGCTGAGGTCGCCTTTATTTGGTATCTTGATCAGGTGTTCTTTCCAGTCTGTTGGTGCTTGTTCTTCATCCTAAATCTTGCTGACGAGAGTACGGAGTATCTTTGCAGCTACTGCTACGTCTGCTTTCAGTGCCTCTGCTGGAATGTTGTCTGGTCTTACTGCTTTGCCACTGTTGATTTGTCTGATGGCCATGCTGATCTCTTCAATTGTTGGTAGGGGAACATTGATTGGGAGGTCCGTGGGTGCTGCTTCGATGTTGGGTGGGTTCAGTGGAGCTGGTCGATTCAAGAGTTCTTTGAAGTGTTCTACCCACCTGTTTTGTTGCTCTTCAATGTTGATGATTACCTTGCCTTCTTTGCTTTTGACTGGTCGTTCTGGTTTGCGGCGATTTTCAGAGAGTTTCTTTGTCGTGTCATACAATTGTCTCATGTTTCGTTCTCTTGCAGCCTTTTCCGCCGCCGTTGCTAAATCTTCCAGATATTTACGTTTGTCGGTTCTGATGCTCCTTTTCACTTGTTTGTTAACTTCTGTGTATTCAGCTTGTGCCTTGGTTATTTCTGCTCTTGTTCGACTGGTATTGATTGCTGCCTTCTTGTTCCTTCTTTCTTGAATCTTATCCAGTGTATCAACAGTGATCCATTCATTGTGATGGTGCTTCTTGTGACCCAGGACCTCATGACATGTTGGAGTGATTGCCTCTTTGATCACCTTCCAGTTGCTCTCCACAGTAGTTCCTTCTCCATTGAGTAGATCATGAAAGGCCTGGAACTTGTTGCTGAGGTC